TGGATCACCTGAGGTCAGGAGTTCAAGACCAGCCTGACCAACATGGAGAAACCCCGTCTCTACTAAAAATACAAAATTAGCCGGGCGTGGTGGCACATGCCTGCAATTCCAGCTATGCGGGAAGCTGAGGCAGGAGAATTGCTTGAACCCGGTACGTGGAGGTTGCAGTGAGCCAAGGTCGCACCTTTGTACTCCAGCCTGGGCAACAAGAGTGAAACTCTGTCTAAAAAAAAAAAAAAAAAAAGAAAAAATTAGAGACTCTATGTGAAGGGCCTAGAACAGAGTCATTGCTGTATTCCTATAAGACACACATGCCTATTCATTGCCCTTTCATTGGGATAGAAGCCCTGCGAGGGTGGGGATGTTTGTCTGTTTTGTTTACAGATATGTCCCAAATCACTGGAACAAGCCCAGCAGTTAGCAGATTTGTGTGTTTGCTGAATGAATATAATTGGCATTAGCCGTTTATGTGAAAGTGAGCATGTCTTTGTGTTAAGTTGAAAGCTTAGATTTCCAAAAAATGGAATTAGAGTATTCCTGTAGGTACGATGGTCTCAGATTTCCTAAGGTTCTTTGTCAGTGGTAACAGCTGAAACAAAACCCTCACCACCTTTTAAGTAGCCAGGATTGAACACTCATCTTACCTTACTCATCTGATTACTCATCTTTATCTTCTTAGGACCACCTTTCACTCACCTGAGGACACCACAGAAGATGGTATATTATGGGAAACCTTCTTGTAAAAACAACTACGAGAATTATATTGACATAATAAAATATGTGTTCAGCGCTTACAAGAGAGAGTCCCCTCTCATCGTCAACACTATGGGATGGGTTTCAGGTAAGCCTGCACGCACACATCTGCAAGGGAAGGACAGGCAGTGTGAGTACTCCTAGCTTTCAGACAGCCACATTAAAGCCCAGTGTTTTGTTTTTTGTTTTTAATTGAGGCAGGGTCTCACTCTGCCGTCCAGGCTGGAGTGCAATGGCGTGATCTTGGCTCACTGCATTCTCTGCCTCCCGGGCTCAAACAATCCTCCCACCTCAGCCTCTGGAGTAGTTGGGACCACAGGCGTGTGCTACTCTGCCCAGCTAATTTTTGTAGTTTTAGTAGAGATGGGGTTTTGCCATGTTGGCCATTCTGGTCTTGAACTTCTGGCCTCAAGTGATCCGCCCACCTTGACCTACCAAGGCGTGCTGGGATTACAAACACGAGTCACAGCGCCCAGCCGAAGTCCAACTTATTGATGGTTTCTTTGTCTTAGAACAAATGCACCCATTTGTCTTAGGAGCGTGTCACTGTTCTTGAGTGTGTCACTGTTCTCGAGTGCATCAGCTGTGCTAATGTCTCTTCCCCACAGACCAGGGGCTCCTGCTTCTCATTGATCTGATCCGATTGCTGTCTCCCAGCCACGTGGTTCAGTTCCGCTGTGACCACAGTAAATATATGCCAGACCTTACCCCGCAGTATGTAGATGACATGGATGGCTTGTACACAAAAAGCAAGACCAAGATGAGAAATCGGCGTTTCAGACTCGCAGCATTTGCAGATGCTTTGGAATTTGCTGATGAAGAAAAAGAGAGTCCGGTTGAGTTCACTGGACATAAACTGATAGGTGTTTATACAGACTTTACATACAGAATAACTCCAAGAAATAGGTAACTAACCCTCATTTGGCTGAAGAATTAACGTTTCCTTCTGTCGAAAAAGGCCTGCCATTCTCAATTCCTCTAAAGGCCTGAGTCCTCTAAAATCTTCAGTTCTCTGTCACAGCTGTGCATTTACAAAGAAGAACCAGTTGTTTTCTGAACTGTTACGTTTCCAGGGAAATACCCAGAAGTGGCCCCTAACTCTGGCCACCAGCAACTTGGACTTAAAGGAGAGTCTTTACGCGTCCTGTTTTTCCAGTCGGGGTCTGTCAAGAGGGGGCAGTGCTGGAAAGCCCAGTACTCTGTGAAAATGTGACCTCTGTGATGACAGGTGTGAGAGGTGGCCGTGGAGGGTTAAATGTCTACTTACCTTGTTGTAATTTGCCTTTCAGAGAGTCACATAACAAAATTCTTCGAGATCTGACCATCTTGAGTTACCTTAGCCAGCTGCAGCCCCCGATGCCCAAACCACTTTCTCCTTTACATAGCCTGACACCCTATCAGGTAATCTGAACTTACGGGAGAAATTGTCTTCATTTTGTTACACACTTGTGTGGTTTTCTGTGTGCTGAGCACTCTTCTAAGCACTTCATAACTCCTCGCTCATTTAATCCTCAGAACATCCCAGTGTCATAGGTTCTGTTGTTATTCCCATTTTATAGATGGGGAAACTGAGGTGTAGAGAGGCTGAGGGACTCAGCAGTAGGGGCCGGGCTAGCATGCAGGCCCAGGCAGTTCAGCTCTGGTGACTGCTCTTAGCCATGTTTCTGTCCTGAGGTTGAGTGTGGCTCTGTGCTGGGTTTGAATGTCCCGCCTGGTCGCAGGGGCTGCTCCAGCACTTCCACTTTTCAGCTGTAGAACAGGGGTGCTACTGGGCCTCAGAGAGTGATCGTGTGGATTCAGGGAGCGTTCACAGTGGAACCTGGCACCCAGAGAGCACTCTTAAAGTACTTCACATTAGCCGGGTGCGGTGGCTCACGCCTGTAATCCCAGCACTTTGGGAGGCCGAGGTGGGCGGATCACGAGGTCACGAGATCAAGGCCATCCTGGCTAACACAGTGAAACCCCATCTCTACTAAAAGATAGAAAAAACTAGCCGGGCGAGGTGGCAGGTGCCTGTGGTCCCAGCTATTCGGGAGGCTGAGGCAGGAGAATGGTGTAAACTCGGGAGGCGGAGCTTGCAGTGAGGTGAGATCCGGCCGCTGTACTCCAGCCTGGGCGACAGAGCGAGACTCTGTCTCAAAAAAAAAATACAAAAAATTGGGGGACACGGTGGCTCACGCCTGTAATCCTAGCACTTTGGGAGGCCAAGGCAGGCGAATCATGAGGTCAGGAGATTGAGATTATCCTAGCTAACACAGTGAAACCCCGTCTCTACTAAAAGTACAACAAATTAGCTGGGCGTGGTGGCTCATGCCTGTAGTCCCAGCTACTTGGGAGGCTGAGGCAGGAGAATGGCATGAACCCAAGGGGCAGAGCTTGCAGTGAGCCGAGATTGTGCCACTGCACTCCAGCCTGGGCAACAGTGCAAGACTCCGTATTTAAAAAAAAAAAAATTAGCCAGGCGTGGTGGCATGTACCTGTAGTCCCAGCTACTCGGGAGGTTGAGGCAGGAGGATCGCTCGAACCCGGGAGGCGGAGGTTGCAGTGATCCGAGATCACGACACTGCACTCCAGCCTGGGCGACAGAGCGAAATGCCGACTCCAAAAGAAAAAAAGTACTTCACATTACTGTCGTCAAAAGTAGATTTCCACCACCAGCGTCTTTGCAACTTGGAATCCAGGCTGCTAATAATTGTTTTGGGAGGAAAGCATGATAGTGTTAGGATTCAGGATGATGAAAAAGCAAAACTAGCGGCAGGTGGCACTTCTGAAATGCTTACTCTGTGCAGTACTCTGTTCTAAGCCTGTGTAACTCCACTACTTACCATGGTCCTGTTATTATCCCCATTTTACAGATGGTAAAACCAAGGCCAGGGACTGGGAGTCAGTTTGCCCAAAATGGTGCAAAGTTTAGGCTAGGATTGAAGTTGCAGGACGCCCGACTCTGAGCCCGGGTCTGCTGTGCCACACAGCCTGTCCAGTTTTGAGTGCTTGCTCCATGCCAGGCACTCTGCCAAGCATTTAGGGGCTCAGTGACTTCGTGGCCACCCTGTGAGAGAAAGGCTAAGACATGCTTCATTTATAGCTTTGAGCATTGGGAGCTGTCAGGTGGAAGCACTTGCCCAGGCTGGAGTGCAGTGGCGCAATCTCTGCTCATTGCAACCTCCACCTCCCAGGTTCAAGAGATTCTCCTGCCTCAACCTCCCGAGTAGCTGGGATTACAGGCGCCCGCCACCACACCCGGCTAATTTTGTATTTTTAGTAGAGACGGGGTTTCACCGTGTTGGTCAGGCTGATCTTGAGCGCCTGACCTCGTGATCTGCCCATGTCGGCCTCCCAGAGTGCTGGGATTACAGGCGTGAGCCACTGCACCTGGCTGAAGTGGCAGACCTGGGCAGCAAGGATATGTTTCTTGGACCCGATGGTGGCATGGGCTCCAGGTCTCTGAGTCATCTCCCCTGGAGAGTCTTTGCTAATGGGGTTTTAGTTTATGGGTCATTTATTCACCTGGAGATGCTCTGTAACTGAACATGAAATTTATCTGCCAATACTTTAATCTGTCTTGTATTACTTCACATTTATTTATTTTTTTTTTTGAGATGGAATTTTGCTCTTGTTGCCCACGCCAGAGTGCAATGCCGCGTGCCCGGCTCACTGCAACCCCCGCCTCCCGGATTCAAGTGATTCTTCTGCCTCAGCCTCCCAAGTATCTGGGATTACAGGCACACACCACCATGCCCAGCTAATCTTTTGTATTTTTAGTAGAAACGGGGTTTCACCATGTTAGTTAGCCAGGCAGGTCTCCATCTCCTGACCTCAGATGATCCACCTGCCTCAGCCTCCCAAAGTGCTGGGATTATAGGCATGATCCACCGCGCCCGGCCCACATTTATTTTTTAAATTCAACGGTTTTTTTGTTTTTTTTTTTTTGAGACAGTCTCTGTCACCCAGGCTGGAGTGTAGTGGCACAATCTGGACTCACTGCAACCTCCGCTGCGTGGGTTCAAGTGATTCTCAGTTCTAGTGCCTCAGCCTCCCAAGTAGCTGAGACTAAAGGCATGCACCACCACACCTGGCTAAATTTTTGTATTTTATTTATTTTTTTATTTTTATTTTTATTTATTTATTTTTTTGAGATGGAGTCTTGGTCTGTCATTCAAGCCGGAGTGCAGTGGCACAATCTCAGCTCACTGCAACCTCCGCCTCTCGGGTTTAAGTGATTCTTGTGCCTCAGCCTCCCGAGTAGCTGGGATTACAGGCGTGTGCCACCATGCCTGGCTAATTTTTTTATTTTTAGTAGAGACAGGGTTTTGCCATGTTGGCCAGGCTGGTCTCAAACTCCTGACCTCAAGTGATCAACCCACCTTGGCCTCTCAGAGGGTTGGGATTACTGGCATGAGCCACTGCACCCAGCCTAAAGAATTTTTTATTTTATTTATTTTTTATTTATTAATTTGTTTTTGAGACAGAGTCTTTCTCTGTTGCCCAGGCTGGAGTGCAGTGGCGCGATCTCCGCTCACTGCAACCTCCACCTCCCAGGTTCAAGCGATTCTCCTGCCTCAACCTCCTGAGTAGCTGGGATTACAGGCGCCCACCACCATGCCCAGCTAATTTTGTATTTTTAGTAGAGACCGGGTTTCACCATGTTGGTCAGGCTGGTCTTGAACTCCTGACCTCGTGATCTGCCCACGTCGGCCTCCCAAAGTGCTGGGATTACAGGCGTGAGCCACTGCACCTGGCTGTTTTTATTCTTTAAAGATACTTTTTGGGTAGGCACTTTGGCAGACCTATCTTTAGATAGCTGGTTAATCTAGTTGTAAAAATTAAGTGGTTTTTCAAAGTAGCAATGAATAGAGTGAGATGCAAATTCATTTTCCAGGTCCCTTTCAATGCAGTCGCGCTCCGAATTACCCACTCTGATGTCGCCCCTACCCATATACTATATGCTGTGAACGCCAGCTGGGTTGGTCTTTGCAAGATCCAGGATGATGTCAGAGGATACACGAATGGGCCCATCCTGCTTGCCCAGACTCCAATCTGTGACTGCTTGGGCTTTGGTGAGTCTGAGAGTAAAACATATCCATAAACCTACTGAAGAGGATCTACTGCTTTAACTGTAGATGACTGGTTAAAGTCCTTGTAGCTGTGTCTAAGCTACAGAGGTCAGAGAACCCCCACTCATCTATATAGCATGCCTTAGGGGCTGGAGGCCAGGAAGGAAGCAGCTATTTCTCTGCTTCGTCTACCAGCTCCTATAAATGTAGACTTACCAAGGGCCTGGGCTTGGCCCTCTTCTTGCTCGACACTTCTCCCCTGTCTCAGTCACTGCTGGGTTCTAAATCCATCTTTAGGCGTTCCCTTTCTGCAGTGTCCTCCAACACAGCTGTTCATCTGCGTTCCAAACCCACCTTGCCAGTGTACATCTCCACTTGAGTGTCTGACTCGCATGTAGACCTGGGACCCTCAGGACCCTCCTGCTCGCACCCTCTCCTCCTTGCCCCAGGCTTGTGCTTGGTCCATTGGAAGATTCACTCTGACATCCAGGTCAGACCCTGGCCCCTCCTTGGCATCCCCTAGCCTTCGTTTGCTACTTTCAGCCCATTAGACGGTCTGTTGGCTTCTGTCTTCAAAATATGTCAGCTTCCTCCACCTCTTCTCAGCATGTTAGTCAGCCACCGCCATCTGCTGAAAAGTTTCTTAACTCTCCACTTCCTCTCTTAAAATTTATCCCCATAGCCAGGAATGACCTGAACCCAGGCGCAGTTGTGCCACAGCCTGGCACTTCCCATCACTCAGATCCAAGGTCTGGACCAGGGCTCGAAGTGCCCAGCGGGATTGGGTCCCCACCTCCTTGACCTGCCTTGGTTTCTTGAGGTCAATAAACATGGAGTTTTGGAAGGGTGCTGGAGCTAAGTAATCCCAAATTAGCGAAGTCCTTAAATGCACATTTCAGATTTGGACAACACTGTATTTCTCAAAAGCATTTTCACAGAAATTGTGTCATTTAGTACAGACCATAAAGGAGGAACAGTGATGGGGAAAGATCAGGTTGTCTTCTGTATGTTCCTTAGTGGTGGCTTTTCCCCCTGGCCTGTACTCACCAACAATCTAGGACTTTTGTTTGTTTGTTTGAGACGGAGTCTTGCTCTGTTGCCCACGCTGGAGTGCAATGGTGTGATCTCCGCTCACTGCAACCTCCGTCTCCCAGGTTCAAATGATTCTTCTGTCTCAGCCTCCTGAGTAGCTTGGATTACAGACATGCGCCACCCCACCCAGCTAATTTTGTATTTTTAGTAGAGATGGGATTTCACCATGTTGGTCAGCCTGGTCTTGAGCTCCTGACCTTGTGATCCGCCCTCCTTGGCCTCCCAAAGTGCTGGGATTACAGACGTGAGTCACTGCGCACAGGCTGTTTTTTGTTTTTTGTTTGTTTGGTTTTTTTTTTGAGACAAAGTCTCTCTCTGTCTATTTGGACTCACTGCAATCTCTGCCTCCTGGGTTCAAGTGATTCTTGTGTCTCAGACTCCTGAGTAGCTGGGAATTACAGGTGTGCGCCACCATGCCCAGCTGATATTTGAAATTTTAGTAGAGACAGGGTTTCACCATGTTGGCCAGGCTGGTCGCAAACTCCTGACCTCATTCAATCCACCGGCCTCAGCCTCCACAGTGCTGGGATTACAGGCGTAGCCACCGCAGCTGGCCCAATCTAGGACTTTTGCATGTAGACCATTTTGGTTCCTCATGGCTGAACACAGGGAAGGTACAAACTGTCCCAATTTTCAAGGACTCTGTCTCTTGACTCTTTGTATTTTCTTTTTTTTTTTTTTTTTGAGACAGAATCTCGCTCTGTCACCCAGGCTGGAGTTCAGTGGCGCCATCTCGGCTCACTGCAAGCTCCGCCTCCTGTGTTCAAGCTATTCTCCTGTCTCAACCTCCCGAGTATCTGGGACTACAGGTGCCCGCCACCACGCCTGGCTAATTTTTTGTATTTTTAGTAGAGATGGGGTTTCACCGTCTTGCCCAAGCTGGTCTCGAACTCCTGATCTCAGGCAGTCCACCCTCCTCGGCCTCCCAGAGTGCTGTGATTACAGGCGTGAGCTACTACACCCGGCCAGCTCTGTGTATTTTCAAAACAAAACAGAGTTGAAATCAAGACTTATGTTCAAAACCATTCTGCAGTTTCTAAAGGTGGAGAGGTTTGATGTTTTCCAAAAGGGTGATTTTTGTGTTGTGCGCATGTCTTGAAGGCATCTGTAGAGGCATTGACATGGAGAAGCGGCTGTACCACATCCTCACCCCTGTGCCCCCGGAAGAGCTAAGGACCGTGAATTGTCTGCTCGTTGGAGCTATTGCCATTCCACATTGTGTCCTTAAGTGCCAGGTGAGCCTTACCCCAGGCACAGCCCTGGAAGGAGCCTACTCAGGTCCACAGGAAGTGAGGAGCTGAAGTAGGGTCAGGGGTCATGGGAATGGGTGATCTGGGAAACCTATACTTTGTTGTAGGTCCTGAGTGAGCCAAGACGGTGTCAGGGCCGCCTCCAGGGCCTGAGACCATGAATCACTGTCACTCATGGTGTCAGTGTCGCGATCTGGGCTCACTGCAACCCGTGGTGGAGCCTTTACATAGTAGTAGGTTGTGTTGGAGCAAGCAGGGGCCCTCTCAGGTTTGCCCTCCTGAGGACAGTCTTCAGAGGCATCACGGGACCAGGCCAGAGCTTCTGTGTGCCCCAGAGCCAGCCACAGGGGCTGCGAGTGGGCTCTGGGTACAGGGGATGTTCCCACCATTCTCATCCTCCCGTGTCCCTCTTTTGAAAGGGACGTGCACTGCACCCCCACTCAGCCTCACGCTGTGTGCTGTGTTGATGGAATGGGACAGAAGGGAGGCCCTGGCACGTTTGTTACCGAGCCAGTTGATTAAAGGGGGCTCTGAAGGAAGGGATCAAATGCCTTAAAAGTGAAAAGTCCCCACCCAGACTGTCAGGACACTACCTTCAGGTGGGAGAGAGCGCTGTAAACCCCTCTGGCCTGGACCTGGAGTGTTTCCATGAATTCTCTTTGTGTTTCCATTTCAGCGTGGGATCGAAGGGACCGTACCTTACGTCACAACGGATTACAATTTTAAAATTCCTGGAGCATCAGAGAAAATTGGAGCAAGAGAACCTGAGGAGGCACATAAAGAGAAACCATACCGAAGACCTAAGTTCTGTCGAAAAATGAAGTGATGCTCGCATTTTTAACAAGGGAAGAAACTTTCCTACCTGAAAGCTTTGTCTCAAGCCTGACCACGAGAGACATGATGGAGTTTCATGGCCATGAATGGTGCCCTTATCAGCAACACTGTTTTCTGTGTAATTCGTGAATGTCGTATGGTAGTCTTAAGTTTCTCTTTTAAAGCTGCATGAGCTAGAATTTGCTCTAGTCTTCTGTGTGGTACTCATACTTGCTGTCTGGTGTGCTTTCCAGAGGGAGTAAAACAGCAGAGAACAGTTTGTGTGCCATTAAAACAGAGATTCCTCAGAAAGTTCTTCAAGGACCTGGCTATTAGAATCAGGATAAAAATACGGAAACTGGGGCCATTACAATGTACTGAGAAGGAAGGAAGAAGGCCAACCTGCAGGATCTCAAGCATAATGAATACAAGGGCTCACCACAGCGTTGCCTGAGCCATGTGCAGACCTGGGGGCCAGCGACCGTCTGCTTCCTTGGAACCAGTGTGGATGGTTATAGCCCATCCATTTGGTGCAGTTGTACTTGGTCTGTTACATTCAATCAAGGTTTAATAGATAGGGCTGGGCGTGGTAGCTCACGCACACCTGTAATCCTAGCACTTTGGGAGGCTGAGGCTGGAGGATTGCTTGAGCCTCTGAGTTCCAGGCTGGAGTACACGAACTACTCCAGCCTGAGCGACAGAGTAAGACCTTATCTTTTTTAAAAAAGAAAATAAAAACTTAAACGGGTTCGATAGATATAAATTTGGACCCAACAGCCCTTCTTTTTTTAATCCTGAGGTTTTATGCCGAGGAAATTGCTTTCAAATCTGGAAAACCTCGGGGCCAGGCACGGTGGCTCACGCCTGTAATCCCAGCACTTTGGGAGGCCAAGGCAGGAGGATCACAGGGTCAGGAGGTCAAGACCATCCTGGCTAACATGGTGAAACCCCGTCTCTACTAAAAATACAAAAAACTAGCCGGGCGTGGTGGTGGGCACCTGTAGTCCCAGCTACTCGGGAGGCTGAGGCAGGAGAATGGCGTGAACCCGGGAGGCAGAGTTGCAGTGAGC